CTACATTTCCTGATTGCTCTGAAGACAGCTCTTCGACCGGATTTGAGAAGACTGAAGAGTCTTGTGAAAGACCGTAAACATTGGTTTTATTAACTTTAGCTTCCCTAAATATCTTGAACTGAATTTTATCAACTTTCATTTCTTTTTTCAGAATATGAGAAGCTATGAGTTGTGGAAAAATGTTGATTTATCTCCGATGGATATGATGATTTTTATCTACTGATCAAAAACAACCGTAATGTTATAGTAACATAGTAGCCCTGTTTTTTGGAGTGACCTCGTGGTCTGGGGATACTGAAACCCAGCCATGATCTCACTAACTTTGCATATAATTTTTTTAAACAGTAAATTACAAAAGGGGTCCTTCCGTTAAGGTACGGTCGTGCACAAGCTGGATAGGGTCCGTACCAGCATTATATAAATACATCAATAAACAGTATTGCAGGAATTAAGTCAAGTCGGCATTTAATGAATTGTCATTGAAGGTATTTTCTTCAACCGTCCATCCTCTACAACAGCACTAATTGAATTGTCTATGAATTCCGTCTTACGTATACAAAGGATAGTTCTTACATAGTTTTTTGTTTCTGCGTAGCTTTAATGCCTTTTTTCACAAAGTTTTTCAGCTATGCGCTGCATTGTCCGATTGGCTGCTGGTGCGGCACCACCAGTGCAGCCAAAAATGAGCGGACAGAAGCTGTTCTGTTCAACTTGTAGAGCTCTCTGTTGGTAATTTGAGTTTTTTAGTTAGTGGTTTGTGGTTTTTATAGGCGTCTTTCAGTAGTCGTTGTGAAGTTTTTGTGTGCGGGTTGAAGACTTTGACATCAAAGAAGATTCGGCTAAACCTTGAGCCCCATAATCCATTTGTTTTTACATCTAAACGAGCGTCTTCATCAGTTGGAGTTGAACAGTTGATAAAGCTCTCGCCTTGCAACGACTGAAGTTTCGGCTCGATTTCAACATCAAAGCAAATCTTGCTCATGAGGGTGACAACGGTATCTCTGATTTCGTTATGCCTCATGTTGGTGTATCCATCCTTTGCACAGTAAAGGGCGTGGGTAAAGTCAAAAGATTGACCACATACACATGTGAATGGATTGTTGGTTGGTTCCCATCCATATCTGAGATAAATTCCATCCCGGAATTCAGGTTAAAATTATATCTGCTAAGAGGCAGTGCATTTAACCATCTTGAGGCTCCTCTTTCGGAGTCCAGCTCAAGTGCGTATTTTTCATTGTCGCTCAAATTGTTCAAAATGTTAGTTTCTCTTTTGGTTTGTTCTTTCAGTTTTAAATGTTTTAATTTTTGTAATGATTTTTTCTTGCTCAGATAAAGCTGTTAATGGGTTGTATCTGTCTAGGACTGACGATGTTTTAATTGACTATTCTAAAAAGTTCTCAGAGTCAGAAAGTAGCTTGATATTTAGACCATCCTTTTTCAGTGGCAACGAAGCGATGTCTCTAAATTGATGGCTGATATTATCTTTACCAATTAAAATTGGAATGAAATTTTCCTGCAGTATCTTCTCGCAGGCCTGCATCTTTTCTGTTGTATTGGGTGTAGTTTTAGCTAAAAACGATAATTGTTCTTGTATCCCTTTGTTGTAACAGGAGTACACGTTTTGTGGTGATGTTTTCGCGATCTTGCCAAGTTTTTTCAGTATTTTTTTGTGTTCCTCTAACTGAGTTTCTAAGAAAGTTTTACATTCATATTCAGATTCTTTGACAGATTCAAGTACTCTGGCCCCTTTCTTCGTTTCAAATTCGGTATTTTTGAATACTTTTATCGCCTCGTTGTATTTTCCATCTCTTACAATGAGCTGGCATTTCGATGCCTTTACATGTTATCCAAAAAATTTTCCGTGTTTGATAATGTTGTCAAGAACTCTTCGCAGGCTTTTCAAATTACCGACTGCGTTACCATCGTCTGTATACCATTTCGGTGTTAAGCTGTTATCGCTGACTAGTTTTTTAAAGGCAAAAAGGCTAGCCCAAACATTGCCATTGCTAATGGATCTCCTTGTGTGGTTCCCTCTCTAGATAGGATTACCTTTTTATTAAGAGTTTGGATGGATTAGAGTATGAGTTCTGCATTGCGGGTAGTATAGATGAGCATGTATTTGCAATGTTTTTCAAAGCCAGAATCCGGTTTAGGTAATTAAAGGCATTTTCCGCGTCTATCAGTAATATTGCATCCGAATCTGTTTTCTCGTATTGCTTCCTAAGCGTATGAACGGCATAATCGATGCCACAGTTTTGGCCAAGGCATAGTTGGTATTTCAATCCCAGTACCATAAGTTCGCTTATAAGCACTTTGTGATCGTTCTACCTATTATTCTGCGGATAGCCTCGCCTATGCCAATTGGCCTAACTCCTGGGTTTTTATCAAGTGGAATTAGTCGACAGGCATCATATGGTTCAAGAAGTTCATGACTTAGTATTTCTGTCGATTTTTTCTGTGCGGTTTTGGCTATTGTCTTTGATATTTCAACTGACTGTTGACCAAAATGCGTTAGTATGCGTTTCCACTCAATTGCATCCAGAACTGAGGGTCCATGAGAACCATGTGTTGTCATGGCAGAATTCCTGATTTTCTGGGCGTTTATTTGGTCGAATGTGGATGAGTGGAAGGGGGTTGTATCTTCTGGGCATGATAATATATAGTTTCTGTTTACTGGCTCCGCGGGATGGTGTTTCTCGATGAGGTTTTACTCAACAGTTTACTGTTTGATCAAAGACGGTTACCTCGTGTGAGAGAACTCCCTTGGAGGTATCAATTAATTTAGCAATAGCACTCGATATTTTTCCGGTGTTCAATAGTTTATTAAATCGATGTGCTTCAGTTTCTACTTTCTTTTTCTTACTCTTTACCAAGCGAATTTGCAGCGCTTTTCCCTCGGTAAAAAGTTCGTCCAGTTCGCCCTTACGCCATTGCATAAGCTTTCTTGCTATAGTTTTGGAATTCGAACCATCACTCTCCGATTTCGTTTTACATAGCATGGGGTGAGGGAATATCATTGTTGTGTTTTCTTGTGTTTCAATTAACGAGTTGAGGGTTCTATTTAGAGTTTCTATAAAGTTAAACCCAATTCTGTTTTTTGCGAGGATCAAGAAGACTGGTTTCCAGTGCACTACTTGGCGGTAGATTGTTCTTATTTTACCGTTTAGATCAGGTGTGGGATTTGACCAGGGGTCGGGTGTGGCTGTTATAGTATCGTTGCTGTTTGCAATGTCAAGATTTTGATCGTTAGTCGAAGGAGCGTGTTGAGGTTGAATTGTAGGGGCTCGAATTTCAGTTGTAGTGTTGTATGTAGTCAGGAGGTGCAGGGAATGCAGCTGAAATTTTCGTCGTGGTCGCTGGCTGGGTTCAACGGCCGCATAGTTGGTTGTTACATATGATACAAGTTGTTTGAGCGGACATTATTTGAGGGGGAACGGTATCGTCAGATTATCAAAAGAATTTATAAATAAAAAAGCAAGAAAGTTGGAGCAAGAAAGCAAAAAAGCTAGGAAATCATTGTTATTGGAGCTTTGGATTGTTTTGGGGATAATAAGGGTTTTGGGCGGGAACTGGTTTGTGATTAGGTTGATTAAGAATTTCCACTTTTGCTCAACTATTCGTGGATGCAGCCTGTTTTCATTAAACCCGGCAATAAATGTAACTGTGTCAAGGTGCTTTGTTTTGTATTGTAAATCTTGGAGTGTGGCGCCGTGGTAAGAGTGAATTGTAGATTTTACTAGAGCTGTCATGATATATTTTGTCCTTAATTTGCCAATTACAAGCTACTGTGAAAAGTCCGGGATGCGCCTTGCCTGGAGTCGGGGCATCCACCTGAAACACTGACAGCGAAGGCAATGGAGAAGCTCTTTCATAGAAAGTTGGGGGAATGGATGGCCAATGAATCAAAGAGTTAAATTTAAATCGGAGAGTTAATAAAAAACGAAAAATTGAAAGGTAGAAACGGTACAACCTGGGGTGTTGTTGAAAGGTAATTACACCTGCGCACTCCTTGCGTCTGTATACGCCAGGGAAGCTTCACTGTCCTACGGCTGGGATGGCGAGATTTGGTTAGATAATCAGAAGAAGAAAGCCCAGCGCGCATATGATATGCAAAAACACACAAGCGGCAGATTTGAACAAAGACTATTCTTTTTAAAACCTGAAGTTGCACATAAATGTGCAAAAACGTTTGTTAGTCATTCTGAAAAGACTCTTTAGTAAGTTTATCACAATAATTAGTAAAATCTTTGATTAAATTAATTTGTGTTGTTTGGTTAATTTGCATTAACAATAAATAAAAGTAAGTTAGTTTGCGTTGTTTGGGCGATAGCTTTAATTGTAATGACTTTGTCGACGTGATGATAATGGACCTTACATTGAACTGGCTTTTGTAGAGACGGTTGAAGAATGTGGAGCTGCGTTTAGGCGCTAGCCAGTCCTTTTAAGACCTAGCTTTATTTTCCGTCGGTATGTACTTCCGAGCAAATGTTACATAAAATTCGTTTCGTCATATTCAAATTCGACATTGCACACAGTGTGATGAAGGGACTCCTGACTGTAACATCGGTTACAATGATTCTTTTGAACTGAGTACCTTTATAAAATTAAAAGTTTTGTTCGAAATACTTATTGTTACGCTTAAAAAGACTCACGCCAGGTCCTTGTACTTACCTAGTTTAGAGTCTTCATAACTTTTAAAGAAAACCTAATTTCAGCGCAACGCATCTTAGTTTAGTAGCTCATGGAAGCGCCAGAGCGGGCGAAAATTCAGAATGCCCTTGAAACGGGCCTCAGATTCGTTTGGTCGAATCGGTGGCCGAACTTAAGCTAGTGACGAAAGGGCCAGCTTTCTCGCTGTATCATGTGATGTTTGAGAGGTATTAATTTTTTTCACCTGACAACTGGGTGTTATGTACTCCCGAGAAAAACTGAACTAACGAGGATGTATTGAGCTGTTCTTGCTACGCTTGTGATAAAATTGTATCTGGTTTTCAAGATGAAGACATGTGACAAATGATCAAAATTATTCTATACGATTAATGCGGTTAGAATTCCTTGCTATGTACAAAACTTGAGTTGGATCATTTTGTTTCAATGGCACCTAAAGCAAATAAAGAGTGTTCGGATGATCTCGACGGAAGCAGTGACTCTGGGCCAACTCGTGTATATGCACCCTCAGATCCACAGCGACTATGTGTAGTGTGCGGAGCATGTGCTTCTGGGCGTCACTTTGGTGCGTATACTTGCGAGTCATGCAAGTTGTTTTTCCTGCGTTTAACTCAAGGAAAAAACGCCAGACCTCTGAAATGTGGAAATGACGAAAGATGTAACTTGGAGTCAAGATTGAGATCTGTTTGTCGTCTCTGTCGCTACAAAAAGTGCATCGAATCTGGAATGTCAAAAGATCGCATTGTGTACGGAAGAAATGCCAGAAGTTCACAGAAATATAGTACACCTAGAAAACAAAGTAAGTATAAATTGGCATTGCTGCTGCTTTCAATGGGCTTTCTTATCATGCTGCTGCTTTCTTATCCTTGTCAAAAGCAAGACTGTTGCAACCGGGTGCTAGATTTTTTCCGCAAAGAATCCCGTTCCAATTAATTGGCATTTAATTGGTCCAATTAATTGATTGACAGGCGTTCGCCAATTATTTAATTGATTGTTGAATAATCAATAAATTGGCAGGTATTGGAGTTTATGATAGTTAATGATATGGAGCGGATGCAATCCCGCTTTTCAACAAATAATCGCTGCAGAATAGCAGCAACTAATATGATGCAATTTTTCAGCGCCAACAAACAATGTTGGGACGAGGAGTTAGTTGCCAGCATCACCGCATCAGTTTTTGTTCTGCTTCACAGACAGTTTAAGTGATTTACAGTTATTATATTATATAGTTTGTGTTCGTAAAGAGGATTGAATTCTTGTTTTACCATTCTTTTCTTTCTTCCAAAATAATTGCAATAATTGATTGGTCTAGGTGCCCAATAACAATTAATTGATTGGTATACCAAATAATTGATTGGTCTTGCTCCACTTAATTTTTTGGAACCCCTGGTTCACAGTATTCGCACGTGAGAACGTTACTCGTGTTTTCACTTGCCTTATTGCCCTTAAGATAATGATAAATTTAAATTAAATGTATCATGCTGTGCAGTTGTTGTGGTAAGACCCCCTGCTTGAGACGACAAAGACTTGTTGTTTGAATATGGCCAGGACCTGTTTTTCTGCAAACCATAATTCTTGGCGATTTTAAACTATAATCTGTCTGTTTATTTTTGTCGGCTTAGTTTCCACAAGGTTTTGAAGGTTCAACGTTTTTAACTTTCATTTGAATGTCTTTTGTTAATTTTTAATGGTGCAGGTAACTCAATTCAATACTTTTCGGATTTTTTAGGTTCTTTAAATTTTTTTATTTTCCTATTTATCTGCGCAGAATCATAGTCACTCAATTTTGTTTCGAACGTGATGCGAAGCCCCGCTTCGCCCGTTTGTCGAAACTTGAGTTTGAATGTTGGTTTTTAAACCTACCAGTTCTGGCTATATAATTTCAGATTTTCTAAATTTCTTTTATCGGCATAAGTTTCGGCTTATTTTATAACAGCTCAGTGGCCTCATATTGCGTCATTTTCTAATCTAAATGTTTCGTCGAGGCGAGGGTGAGGCTTACATTTTTAAGTTTTTTAAATATTCTCTTTGAAAACTATATTTTTGAATTTTGCCGCTTAGTATATATTTTTTTCGAAGCTAATTATACTTGCGAGAACAAGTGCATTGTAATTGGGAACTAGACTTGCTTCACTTGAAATAGCTTTGTTACAAATCTGTTAGAAATTGAGCTTGCTTTGTTATTGAACCTTAACAATTCCAAGTTTCCCTCCCATTTGGTCTAGAGGTAGCAGGGATTCGTTGCACCCTAAGGCCGTAAGTTTGGGCCCCGACGGGACCTTGTGTTTTTTAGTAGGTATAAAATTGAATTTTTTGCCAGGCCAAAATGAATTTCTGAACCATCCTTTATTATTTTATTTTTTGTCGGCTTAATATCTCAAGCATAGTATTTTTTCTGATTGAAACAGTTCTTTGTATAATTGACAGTCCTCATGTTATTTAATCAATTTAATAACTCGGATTTTCAATAAGAATAAAATAATGAAGTTAGTTTCACTTAAATGGGTCTTGATGATGCAAAAAAATTGATGATTTAAAAGTGCTTTAATAACGACAGATTTGCATTCATACAGATTGATGCATTCATGAAGCACTTTGCGCTTGCGATACGCAAGCGTTATCAAACTGGAATATAGACTTTTTTAACTTAACAACTAGTTTAACAAAATCAGTCGAATCACTTCTTTTCACTTTTCTTACCTTCTCTTAACATGTCCCAGGTTGCTTCCCCCTGGGCTTGGAGGTAAAGCAGTTGCCTTTGTACCCTAAGGTCTGGGGTTCGATTCGTGGCCGGATCTTGTTTTTTTTTATCAGATCAAGCAAGTCGGAAAAAAATTCGAGAAAATTGAATTGTTGTTTTTCGTTTCTTCGCTCAGGTTTTGTCGGCTAAATTGTAGTTGCAAGTTCAAGTTTTGTTCATTCTAATTTCAGAGGGAGACTTGAAAGATTAAAAAATTTGTCATAAAATCTTTTTTTTTTCAGCTGGTGTTTGCTCAAAAATGGTCGGCTTAGTTGCCTTGTCACTGATTTTTTTGCTGTAAGCAACTTTCATTGTAATTGCAAGTGCAATTTTTGTCCATTGTTGTTTAAGGTGGGGCTTGAAACTTTTTTTATAAAATCATTTTTTTTGCTCAACTTATGTCTGCTCGAAGATTGTCGGCTTTATTTCTTTTCGTAAATTTGGTTCCGTTGCTGCTGATTTACAAATCAAATGTCTGACGTGTTTGCCTGGAATTTCTATCGACACATATGAAAGTATATATGACCTAGTTTTTATTATTAAAAATTTTCATTTTCAGCTGATTTTTTTGTTTTATGTTTGTTGTATCGCAATAGGTGCGGCAATCCGCTTCGCCTCTATGTATAAATGTACTCTTTGAGTTCAATTCAAATTCATCTGCTTAAATTTAGGTAAGTTTCGCTCTCCTATTACAAAAAGGAAGTTGTGCGAAAATACGTGAAGGACTTCTAGTTTCGAAACTGGATTTCAGATTTCCCAGCGAATAAAAAACTTAGCTTATGATCCAGTTTCTTAAATTGGCTGATTTTTTTTAGTTCAAAATTTTTTTTAAAATTTGTTTCAAGGGTTTCTGCTCAGGTGTTTTCGGTTTTGTTACCGTTTGGTCAGTTTTATTCCGATGCTGATTTCGAAGTCTAGTGTCGTTACATATTTTTTTCTGATTGATGTCTTTTACTCAAGCGCGCTCGCGAGCGGTAGTTTATTAGTACGAACCTTCTTTTGTTTCTAGCCTTTTTGGCAAATAAAAGGGTTCAATAAAAGTGTTCATTTGTTGGTACTTTTGCTATTATCGCGATCTGTAACATTGGAAATTTCATAGCATCTGTTCTCTGCTTATTTTGTGGCTAGAGTTTTTTTTATTGATTAAGCGTCTGTAGCTGAGTGTTTAGTACGGGAGACTGATAATCTCTAGGTTGCAGATCGAATCCCGGACGAGGACAAATTTTTTACTAATTCGAGACTATTTTCTACTTATTCTTTGGCTGATGACTACTTTTCCCAGATTTTTACTAATTTGAGGCTTATTTCTCGTTGTTCTTATTGCACTTTTTAGAGCTACTTTTTGTCGTGTTCTCCTGTGTCAAACTAGTTTTGTTTTTCATATTGATGCATCTGGTGTTTTTGGCAGTGAATTTTGTCATTTTTTCCTTCCTAGCGGCTTTTTGGTATTGTATCGCGTAATAATTCAGGCCTTTGGTGTAATAATTCAGGAAAGTTGAGTTGTAAAGAATTTCAAGTGTTAAAAACTAATCTCTCAAAAAGTATTTAGACGCTAATTTCTTTTCGGCTTCCAAAAATGATACGGTCTTTAAATCATAATAAAATTTTTTTAAATGACGATGGTTGCGTTTTCGACTGTTTTTCTCAATTTGATTTTTTCTTAAAGTTTTTCATTTTTATGCTTTTATATCGCTTTTGTTGCGAGTTCTGCTTCGCCTCTGTGTTTCACATTGAATTGTTTTACTTGATATTTTTCTCTTAAAGTGAACTTTCAGAGAAAATCAAGCCGAAGATATGGAAATTATGGTAGATCTAAATTTTTTCTTAGCAGCTTTTTGTCATTTTCTGTCGTCTAGTTTGTCATGCGATTTTTCTGTTGCATGGCAAGTGGTGTGAAGCTCTGTTTCGACTGTAACTTTTTAAATTGTGTTTAGGGATTCACTCAGCACCTATAATTCATTCGAGCTCTCAAGTCATGAGACCGGATGCTGGATTTCAGTGCTTCAGTAACCCTGGAAGTGCTCCAACAATTTCAAACCAAAGTTCCCCATCCACATCGACTTCTTATGGAAGTTCAACGCGCTCCGTCATGTTAACTGACTGTTCGCAAGAAAATGTTGTGAATACCAGTATGGTAGATGACACACCCCCTGCAGATTTGCCCGGTATTGAGGGCGAACTGTTTCTGGAATTGCCTGACCCAGATTGTTTTCAGCCAGCCGAAATACAGCCTGTTAATAATCTTTTATTATGTTCTTGTAAAACGTTGTTGTGCTGTAATCAGGTGGATTAAGGGGGGGGGGGGCGTGTGTGGGGTTGGTGGAAATCTCAGGGATTCGAACCCCTTTGGTATTATTTGATCGCGTCCATTTTCGACCGACCGACTTAAAAGCTTTTTTAAGGGCGACTTTGAGGCCAATGTATACTAATTTTGTGCGAGAGCGCGTGCCAAAAAAATGCGACTATTTTGGTATAAACATTTCCAAAAGTGTTCAAAAACGGTCGTTTTTAGCCTGTTTTTTCAAAAAATTGTCTGCGGTGAACAACTTTTGGTCAAAATAGGGTCTTTATTGGGATGTGGGCGGTCTCTAAAAAAAGGTCGAGAAAACATTGAAAAATCCCCGACCCTCGAAAGTCTTAGATCCGCCCCTGGCTGTAATCAATATCTAGCGCAAGCAGTCTCCTTCACAAGCTCTAAGATTAAAAGATTTCTCTTAAAACTGAAGAATTAAGTACACTAAGACAAAAGCATGAAAATAGTTACTTTGTCGGTAAAGTATAGCTTGACGGTAATGTCAGCATTAATTTGTTTTTCGTTTTCTGCTTTCATGTCCATTATCAGTTTCGCAAAGTGACCATAGCCTAAATGTTTGACGGTTTCTTTTCAGCCTTACATCAGAACTAAACAGGAAAGAAGTTTTTCTCCCGAACTGTTCGACTGGCTCCCTGGACAGACGAAAGATCCCGATGATCATAAATCGGTATGAGAACTGCCAAAACCAAATTAATAGGTCAGAATTAGGCACAGCCCAAAAGTGGTGGCCGTATCCTCAAATTGTTTGTTAGATCATGCCGTCATGTGATAACAACTGCTTCAAGTCTGTATTGTGTTCTCGTCGTTACATTACCTTTCGTTTTCTTCTTTTTTGCAAAATGGGCAGTTCACTAATATAGGTCGTGTTTGTTCGATTTTGCTGCTTGACTTTTTGGTTCAAATTCGCTCGGGAAGGTGAAAGCAGAATTTGCTCTTTAACAACAAATTCAAATGGCGCGAACAAGTGATTGGCTGTTTCTAAAATAGAAATTAGTTTTCCAGCGGAATTGGAAAAAGTTACCTATGGACCCCAAATTTTTTATCTGGGTTAATATTATGAAAAAGGTCACGTTTTCGTTTTCAGCTTGAGTATAATGCCCAACTGACGTGAAGTATGCTTTTCAATAAAACTTTCCAAGTCTTGTGAAAGATCCGTTCCAATAATGAAATAATGATTTCGTTCAAAACAAGAACTAAACTGTTTAGAGTCCCAAGCAGGAGAACAATAACCAATGTTGCAATATGAGCGCAGAAAAATCTGGTCGAGAAAAATTGACCAACCAACCTGTACCAATAAATCCGTTAAACTACTGCCATTTATCACACGAAGAGTGCGAGAGGTTCGCAAACTGCTACAATATCTTTACCGTCCTAAGCACAAATTGGCTGCCGAAAATTGAACTGTCGTGCACTCATAGCGACCTCGGGGTTTGTTTGCAGGAGGTACAATCGTTCACACTTCAATTCATCAGCTTCGAGTTTTTACCTGGCAGTTTAGCTTTTCAAAATCTAGCAAAGATGTCCTGCAATTTTTCCTCTTTCAATCAATTCGATGTAGCCGACCCGGGAAAGGTAATTTTCCCGATCATGTCCGTGCTCCTTGTCTTGCCCTTTGTTGACGTCCTGTACAAACGAATGGAACATAATGATGGCTGTTTCGATGATTGTTTGCTCCTCGGATCTCGAAAGTTCTGGGGCGCTGTGAATGCCCTGAGAAAGCTGCAAATGACCCAGTGTGAGTATGCTACACTGCTGAATTACTTCGCGGTTCAAATGTACGCGGCCGAGCCGACTAAGCAACACTTCCTGCGAACCCACCGAGAAGTTGATGTTATCAAATCGGAGGCCAACCAGAAGTGTTGTCCGCATGACTCAGCAAATAGTCGGAATCAGGAGTGGTATCAAACTCTATCTACCGAACTCTGCTATATGAACAATATAATGATATCTGTTTTCGGTGCATACTCACATTTGAAATACTTCGAAGTCTTTAATGATCTTCTGAGCTGTTTTGCTGCTGGAGACAAGTATTAACATAGGATACTAATGCTTTTGGTCAGTGTTTTTTTTTACTGTGCTTTAATCAACATTTCTTAGAATTTGCAGAAATCTTATTTTAGTAATCTTACTAATGTGCTTCGCTAAACTCTGGTTACCTTTGTAAAACATAAACCTTGGTTTGTTTTAAGTATGTTAGATATATTTTCTATTTCTATTTTTTTGTCTTTTGCGGGAAGGAATTTGTATTGTAGGTAGGTTTCGGGGGCGGAAAATAGTTTTTGGTTTTACAAAGGCTATTCGTGTTAATTTTATTCATTGATGTGAAAATATATCGTTGAATAAATTGCTTCATGTATCTTTTTTATTATTGCGGTTTTCAGCGTACCAATTTGTTTGTTGAAAAGGATGCCTTTCTTCCTGTGAAGTTATTTACTAACAACTGAATGTATCGGAAGCTTAGCAACCTATTTACGTCAGACACAAATAAGAAATAGGAAATTGCATTCCAGTTCAAAATAGAGGTTGCGGGACATCCGCAATTGTCTTACGTGAGTTCCCATTATTTTCCCAATCAACATTCATGCATTAATGATTTTGCGATTTTAATTGTGCTATGCCATTAAAAACTGTATGGCTTCGCCAGCCAAGCGATGATGAATAGATGCTTTTTGTTAGCGTCATGGTGATGATAACTGCGATTAACATCCTGTATGTTGAGCTGGGCGCTATTTTGATGTTATGCGCCGCTGAATCGGAGGATCAACTAACCGAATTCATTTCAAACAATAATAGTCTTCTGCCAAAAGAGGATGAAGGGGTTATTTACTTATTCTCTATTTGAAAAAAAAGGAAAGTATTTTTGTTGGTCTTTCGATTTTGTGCCCGCATCTGATATAATTAGATCCTTGAAGGTTTAGTCATGCGAATTTAGCTGATTGGTTTTACGTCTGTCTCTAATTTCAATGACGCTAGTCATAGTAACCTCTTTTGATGAGACTACAACGGAATCAATTGGGCTGCTTTTATTCTGTTCCTTCGCATAATTACGAGCAATTTCACCATGACATGGTCTAGCTTATGTTTTTTTTTTTGGGGAGACTTGATCATTTTAAGTGTGTCAGAATTTGCAGAAGTTGCAGAGTGATGCTTGATCTATCGGTCTTTCTGTTTTTAATTCGGTTTTGTCTAATGAATACTCGTGCCTAATGTATTCTCATCATAGGGCACAAAAATGGAGTGTGCAGATTGAGCCGATATAAAAAATGATATGTAAACTTAGGACAAAAAAAAAGATTTTTTTTTTGCTTTCACAGAATTTTGCGCTTTTAAAGCACGGGTTTTTGTATTTTCTGAGACATAATTGTGCGTTTCACTTTCATCTTCTAAATTTTAGAAAAGTTCACAATTTTCTGTGGCATCTTGGTGTTGTCGGTTTGAAAGTTGCAAAAAATATCAAAATCCTTATTATCAGTGGCTCCATGGCAGTGGCAGCCGCTCCAAAAGAAAACGATCTGAGAAATCACGTGAAACAAACCAAAAGTAGCGAATTATTTGGTTCAGCTTATTTGTAAACTTAACTGAAAGGTTCATATTTGGGGGCATTGTAGAGTTATTGGATTTTCCTTAACAAGAAGTAAGCCGAATAAGTTGGCAAATGGATGAAAATTAATGAGCATATTATTTTCCAATTACCTGTAAAAAATACATCTTATTAGTTAAAGGGACAGGAATACTGATTCAAAACTGAATGGAGGAAGACAATTTACCTTTTCATGACGCATGCGCGTCCCAAAAATTCTTTCACACTTAACAGTGACATCATAATTGGCCTCTTTAACATTCAGGTACATGCTCTTCAGTGAGCGAATTTCAGTTTCTCTTATCGAACATGTAGACCATTTATGAATTATGCATATAGCTTCGTATGAAAAATTGTTATCTCTGCTGTACGCAAAAATAGAGAAAATGAAAGAAATCTAATTCTATGCTGAACATTGTGACCATTTGAAATGAAAAAAGTGTATTTGAATTTATAAAAAAAAACATCTTTAAAAGAATTGTTTGAATTCTATTGAATTGAATAATGAATATGCGCTACTCTTCGTAATTCAATGTCTTTACCTGAGCTTTTCAAAACTAATACTGAAATGAGGATCTTTATCCTCAACTCAACATTTATCATTCATTTCAATACATGTTTAAGCTTTGTTAATCACCTCTTTCGATGGAACGTGTTGCAGTCAACTGATAACAATGCTCAGTTATGATTTCGGCTCCTTTATAGTATTCTGTTTAGGTTTACGCCACTAATCCGGCTCCAACTAAGCATGGAAGAATTTTTTCTTCCATATCCTGGCGTAGTTTTATGGCACTTATTCAAGTACCAGGAAACATTTTGTCAGTCTATGCTTTGTGAAAAAATTTGGTTACTTGTTTTCATGCCACTTCATTAAAAGATTTAACTTTTTCTACTAGGCACTTACTGTTCATATTTTTGAAGACTCTTTTTTGGGATCAATTCAGCAATCTTTCTCACCTCCATTTTCTAAATTTAAAGAAACATTTTTGAAAAAGAAATAACCTAAAATTATTAATTTTTTTTTGCAAATTTTGGCGACCATTGCCCCGAGAAAAGCTAGTTACCAGGTTTACTGTTCTAACTTTGCATCTAAATACCAAAGAAGGTGTTTTTAGCACCTTAATAATGCACGCAATCGCGTTTTTTAATTTTAGACCAAAAATTCGTCCGGCTTAAGATCCATCAGTTTTAGTAAATTTTTTTCAATCAGAAAGTACTTATTGAGTTTTGATGGTGTGAATTTTGGTGTTCCACATTGGTGTTTTGGCTTATGATTTTCCAACATTCAAATTTTTTTCGAGTGGTTATTAAGCATGACTAGCAAGCGTTTTCAAATCGGAACAGACTTTTTTCGATTTAATAACTTTATGAACAGAATCTCTTGTATCTTGGTTCATAATGATATCAAACTTCTATGCGTAGTCGGCCATTAGCCTGGAGGTAACGAATATTCCTGGGACGCCAAAGGTCCTGATTTCGAATCTGACCTTGACCAGTATTTTTTCAAACGGGAAATATTCATTTTGTTTCGTTAAAAAAATTTCTCGATCCAAATTTTTTCGGCCTATTTGTTATCGGCTTTATGATCTAGTTTTGGGTTCTTTCAAGGGAAAATCAATTTCAATACTCCTCTCCGCACTTTTTTTCAGTCGGTTTTTGGTTTACCACTCGGTTATTGAAAGTTCATTTTGTTATTACGCTTGCGATAAGCAAGCGTTATCAAACTGGAATAAAGACTTTTTTCGGGTTAACTTGTTTAACAACATTAGTTGAATGACTTCTTTTCACTTTTCTTACCTTCTCTTAACATGTCCCAGGTTGCTTCCCCCTGGGCTTGGAGGTAAAGCAGTTGCCTTTGTACCCTAAGGTCTGGGGTTCGATTCGTGGCCGGATCTTGTTTTTTTTTATCAGATCAAGCAAGTCGGAAAAAAATTCGAGAAAATTGAATTGTTGTTTTTCGTTTCTTCGCTGTTTGGGCGACCCTGGCCCCGAGAAATGCTAGTTACAAGGCTTTTCAACAACAACAACAGCAACAACAATAACACCAACAACAACAACAGCAACAACAACAACAGCAACAACAACAACAGCAACAACAAACACAACAACGACAACAACCTTGATGAAAAAAAAATCGAATTATCGTTTTTTTTTTCGGTTCAGGTGGTTCCAGCTCAAAGATGGTTGACTTAATTGCCTCATCACTGATTTTTCTTGTGCTGTAAACATTTTTCATTATAATTGCAAGTGCAAGTGTTGTCCATTGTTGTATAAAGTGGACGTTTTTTATAGAATAATATTTTTCTTGGCTCATCTTGTGTCTGCTCAAAGATTGTCGGCTTTGTTTCTTTTCGTAAATTTTGTTCCATTGTTGTTGTTTAAAATTCAAGTTTCTGGCATGTTTGCCTGTAATGATCTGCTATCGCGATATATAAAAGTTTATATGACCTACATTTTTTCCATAAATTTTCATTTTTCTCGGCTTTTGTTTTTTTTAAAATATTTTTGTGTTGTATCGCAAGTGGCGCGAAGCTCTGCTTCGCCTCTGTGTGAAAAATTATTTCCAATTTTAGTTGAAAAGTTTTTTTCGGAAACTTCTACTAACTTTCAAAAAAAGTTTTCAATTGACCGCTTACTCCCTGTGTTGTATACTCCCCTAGAATCCCTCTTTACTTGACCTCTCTGTCAACATCCTTCGAAAAAGTATGTGGGGTATATTTGACCCTTGCTTTTGATTTTTTTTCGTTTTCTTAAATACTAGCCTCCAAAATCGGAGTCTTTGATTTCAGTGATAATTACGGGTTTTGACATGCTCTCTGCATAAGCAACTGCGCCAAAAAAAATTTCGCACATAAAGTTATGGTACTCGGAATGTTCAAAATTTTTGACTTTTGACCGTTTTGTGAATGAATTTAGGTTTTCTCGAAAACCAAGCTCTCAACTTAATATTGTGGGTTCAATTGATATAATGGGCAGTCGGAAGCTCCTCTGCATCGGCTAGTGGCAACTCTTAAGTTTTTTAATACAAAAAATTTATCACCCTCGAAGAAGTCAAATTTTTGATATTTTGACCGTTTTCTGACTATTCTCGCAAACCACCCTGCGATTTCTGAGATTTTGGGTTCAACTCAAAGAACGGATTGTGGTAAGCTCATATGCGACTGCACCGAAACCAAACTTTTCTGAAACCAAAAGTTCTGACCCTCGGAAAAGTCAAAATTTTGGTTTTTTGACCGTTTTTTTTCTTAAATTTTGAAATTTCTCGAAAACTACCCTCCCAAATTTGAGATTTTGGTTTGACTCGAAGTAACAAAATGGGTAAATCCTTTGTGCATAAGCTGCTATCCCCTACTTTTCACACCAGAAGCAAAGACTTGGAAAGGTCAAGTTTTTAATTTGAGACCGGTTTGTGGGCTTTTCTCGCTAGATATCTTGTAAAATCCGACATCATAGGTTTAATCGAAACAACAGGTTCAACAGGTTGTTGAAAGCCTACCTTTATAACTAGCAATGCCCTGTTTGTTTTAGAAAACAATTGTGGCCTTCAAACAAGTCGACATTTTGACAGTTTTTTGCAAACTTTTCGACTTCA